CATTGAGAATTTTAGTTTAGTTTCTCCAGCCTTATTAAGGCATAGTTAATAGAAATTACACATCATGTGACAGTTTGATGTAGCCATTTAACATTATAAATTTACATTGTAAAATGATTAGCTCCATCGAGTTCACATTTGAAGAATGAGGTGAGAACTCTGCAGCTGTACTTGAAACTCTTACTATGTTTCAAGTATACAATGTCCTGATACACATTAGAGCCCAGAATTTGTCCCAGAAACCGAAACTCTGTCACCCTGCCTTGAGAAACCTGTTTGCCCAGTATGAGAGAAGGCTGTAACCACAGCAGCTGTGACAGAACCTACACTGAGCTGTGTCTCCCTTCCCTCCTCTCCTGGGGGCCTGGGCAACTCTGAAACCAGACAAAGTGTATTTACTTTACTCCAGGATCCCACCTCAATCCAAGAACAGACACTGTCCCTAAGAACCCAAAGTCCAGTGACTTGAGTGATTTCAGCACCCTGCCTGCCACCCTCTGGAGGAGGAGCCAGGCTTCTTCCCAGTCTAATGTCACTTAGGAAAGTTGTTAAAGGCCATGTGATGCCACTGAGGAGCCTGAGGCACAGACACTGAGCCCAGGACGTTTGACCAGACCAGGCTGTGCAGGTATGTTTTTGGTACTCTGTTGCCATCTTCCTCAGACTTACATGTCTGTGTATTTCTCCTTTCCTCTTATAATTAAACATCCACCTGTGCACAGAGGGCTTCCCTTCTTCTTCTTCTTCTTCTTCTTCTTCTTCTTCTTCTTCTTCTTCTTCTCCTTCTCCTTCTCCTTCTCCTTCTCCTTCTCCTTCTCCTTCTCCTTCTCCTTCTCCTTCTCCTTCTCCTTCTTCTTCTTCTGGTGTCATCTGGACACAGGAGACTTTCAGAATTTGGCCTTTGGTACTGGAGGGGGGAACCCATAAAAAAGACACTGGCTACTCACTGTGACTTCACAAACCATGTGATTTTTCTTGCCAGGATCCAGACTTGCCTCTCCCTCCACTCCTGTGGAAGAATCTTGTTCTATGTGAGGTGTGTTGGTGTTGTACTCTTAGGGGTAGTGGACAACTTAGAGCTGATCTCTATCTAACCAAGGGGGGATAACTCTTTTCTCCCTATGGGGATGTAGGCCAGGAGAGAAAGGGCAATGGTGTGAGGAAATTTTAGAGTCAACCGAGCCCAAATTAGAAACCCAAACAAGCCCCAAAAATTAAGTAATACTTTTTCTAACTGAAAGTAACTATAATAAAGCCAACCGAGACGTACATATGTCACTGTTTGTGATGTGAGTGACCCAATACTGTAGGCAGTAGTCTTAGGCATTCTACCTTTCATTGTTGTGGATGAGGAAGTTGTCAGCAAGAAGCCTGGCAAGAAGAGTGGTTTTACAGGAAGGACTTTCAGGCAGCCTGGGGGCAGGCCAGTAGGAGGTCCCCAGAGCCTGCCCACAATTACTAAGTCAAGGAACACTTCAAGGAGATTGGGACCTGTAGGTAGCTGCAAGGAGACAGGGGACCTGTAGGCAGCATATGAAAGGTTCTTCCTTCCCTTTCTGGAAAAGGACTAATTCCATAGTATGTGGGAAAGGGTACTACTCTATGCGCGCAAGAATCTGATCCCATGTGCTCAAGGCCTCCCCGCCAGTAACTTATTCAGTTGGTCAACGTCTCCCACACAACTGTTAATGGGGACAGTGTTAGTCCTTTAGGTTGAACCAAAATTGAACCATTCCACACATATGACATTAGGGACTAAGTGAGGGGAAGGACTTCAGGTGGTCAGAAAGACGCTAAGAAACATACCCATGCAGATTGGAAAGCATAGTAGCCAGGACCTCTCCTCTCCACCTTGCTCCATGGCCTCCTCTGTCTGCACTGTAGCACCCGCTGCTTCATCCCTACCTATCACCCACACTGGCCTCAAGAGGGATTTCTAAAGTGTAGTCTCACTAAATCCCCTCAATGGCTTTGCTCCAGTCAGTGGGGGTCATGAATTCTAATAAAATAGTTTAAAGTTTAGATTCATGTCTAAGGTAGCCATGCCCCAAACCAGCAGTTCCATGTGGAGGAATAGAATAAGCAGGGATGTCCTGGAGTTCAGGATGGTCCCAGGCTGGGAGTCGCAAAGGCTTCTGAGGAAAGAAGATGGTGGAGGACACAGCACTCATATAAAGACCCAGAGAGGAGAACAAGCCTGCGTCATCCCAGAGCCCCCCCCCATCTTGCAGCCTAGAAGTAAGAAAACAGCAAGGAAGGAATATTACCCCAATTCTGGGGGGTGTGAGGAAAAGGATATAAGGTGCACCATAAGGTGCACACAGGACAGTGCCCTGTGACACCTGGCAGGACCACCTGTTCATCCATACTCTGCAGAATGATCAAAGGGGAAAGAACATGAAATACGCAGCAGGAGGGTCTAGGACTATGGGAGGCATGAGTTATCCAAAAGGACTGAAATGGTAGCTGGTGACCAAGAATGATAAGGCTGAGAGGCTAGGGGACCAATAGCCCGATTCCAGGAAGAGTTACACAATCTCCAACAAAGATCCAGCCAAGAGCCTGGGGGATACCTGGCTAAGATGCTGGACATATGGGTCTGATCTTCCATATTGTAAACCATAAGTGAAATAGGCTTGATTCATGGAAATGACCCTAAAAGCAAACTTTTTAAGCCAGTTTCTCAGTGGGACATTCTTTCTACATTCCTAAATTAAACTTGAGGCCATTTTCTGGTTACAATTACATGGAAATTCTGACATTTAAGTCTGAAGATATAGCCTCAATAATTCAGAAATTGTAATGCCAAATATCTTGAACTATTTAATGGTTAGTCTTTCTTCAACAGGCAGCCTTGTCTTCCCTGTGCATCCTGCCCTCTCTAGAGCTGGCTTCTGGATCTGCCAGCCTTGGTGAAAGGGAACGTGACCATCAGCTTGCTATCTCCCACCCCTCCTGGGAAGTGTGGCTGCCACACCCAGGAGCTGTAAAGGAAGAAGGAAGGAGACAGGCTCTTGGCACAGAACTTCTGACTTGAGCAGAGCTCTCCTGAGAAGGCTTTGCTGGAGAACTTAGAACAGGCAGAAGGCTGACTCTTTCCTGGGATGTCCCTGGTAGTGATCAGGGTTCCTCACTGTGGCACCAAGACACATCAGTTGCAGGGCTATAACAATTCAGAGCTTGCTGACTTATTCTGTCAGCTTTGATATTATGTGAACAAACTTTAGCATTAGACAAACTGCAGAATTTGGGCTTAGCCTCCAGGACTTGTGAGGATGCAGCTGAGAACATGGTGTAGGGTACATAGGCAGCAGAACCGTGAGGGTCCAGACGGTCTTTCTGAGTAGGGAAAGTTCTCTGAGTAGGGATCAGTTCTCTACTTCTTGCTACATACTCATAGTTCTCTGAAGGAATGAGCCACAGGCAGCACTAAGCCATGCTCAGTGGCCTGAGCTCACACCTAGCCTCTGTCCCTCCCTAACAACATCCATGCAACTGCAAACCACACTTTCCACTGCTCCTCCACAAAGTTCACACCAGGGTCTGTCCTTCACAGTTTTTCTGATGTTGCTAACAATGGCCGAGCTTCTTACAATCTCATTTACTTGATAAATACTTGTTTACATGTGAATACACATGAAAGATATTTTTGCTACAAATCTGCCTCGCTGTCCTTCTGGACCCTCAACCAAATGGATGCTGTACTCCCGCCTTACACCGATGCCAATTGACTACTCTGGCAGATCCACCTCCAACTACACCTGTTCTTCTGAGCTAGAGGACCAAGCCAAAAGAAATCTACAGCTCTGCTCTTTGCTTTCTTTACCTGCTAATGAAAAGAGAAGAGAGTGTTCCCTACACTCAGACCTATGCTTCTCACCACAGGCTGAGGTGGGGATGCATGGTCTGCAGGATCCCTTTATCCACCCCAGTTTGAGACAGGACTGTTTATGCACAGCAACACAACACTCACAGACTGAAAAGTTCAAATGTAACTATTACAGGATGATGGTAACATGCTTGCCTTGTGCCTGCCATCTGGGCCTGTTGGCAAGATGGTGGCTAATACTGATTTATCTATGTTAGCACTGAGAACCAAGTCGCCCTTCTACTCTCCTTGTCTCAGTTTCCTCCATTGTAAAACAAAGAGCCTTGGTGGGTTGGAGGTGAGGGTAAATGAGGCAGCATTGGCAGGCAGCACTCAAGCCTGTTGATGAACAGCATACTTAAACTCAGAGACAACTTGCCTAAAGTTATCAAAAGTATAGTAAAAGAAGTGGTGGGGACCAGAAACCAGGCACTGTCTTAGAAGACAGTCTTCCTCACTGAACTCTACTTTTTGCAGGTAGAGCTTGACTTCATCCATTTCACCTGTCAATGTGGACGGAGCATCAGAAGATGTAAATTTGGCCTGCCTTGACATAAATGGCCATGCTTTTTGCAAGAAACTTTTAGCTTTTCCTGAGTCTCAGTTTCCTCCATTGTAAAACAAAGAGCCTTGGTGGGTTGGAGGTGAGGGTAAATGAGGCAGCATTGGCTTTACTGGGATGGTCACAGACTCTTCCTGTGTTCCCTCCTCTCACTCTCATTGCGTAAAGGAAAGTTGCATTAAACTGATGACTAAGAAACTTGAACTCCAGCCTCAGCCCCACAGTCACTTTCCTCAATTCTTCCACAGAGCAACTGCCTGGGCAGCTTGATTTCTAAAGTAAGTGTGTGTGTGTGTGTGTGTGTGTGTTTGTGTGTGTGCGTGCGCGCATGTGTGTACATACAGTACATGCAGGTGTATACAATGGCAGCAGGCAAAGAGAAGGAGGGAGGGAAGAAGTCATGCAAGGGAAGGCACTGAACTTAGAAGAAAAGTGGGCAGGACCTCCTGAGCCAGAAGGACTCCTTGCTTTCTCAAAGGCCAATGATACTTGGGTTTGTTTAATCATTAAAGGGAAGGAATGAAGCCAGAAGGACATCAAAGTCCAGCCTGCTTGGAACAACAGTAACAGATGAGCAAGGAGCCAGCAGCAATGCTTGGAGATTCAGGGGATGCAGTCAGCACTGAGGCACCGCCACAGTCAGCACTGGGCTCTGAAGTCAGCCTGCATGCCTATGACATCGTGGTGGTGGTCATCTACTTTGTCTTTGTCCTTGCTGTGGGAATCTGGGTGAGTGAGAACTAAGTAATGCTGAAGCTTGACAGAAAGAGAAGCCTCTCGTCTGGCTGGGAGAAAAGGGGGTGGGGTGGGAAGGAATATATAACCATAGGTAGCTGAAACTATGGTACTTTAGGAATCACCCATTCCTGCCATGTCCTTCTGTATATGGATAACTGAAACCTAGAGAGATATGTGGCCTGGCTGAGCAATACCCAGTGAGCCAGAGGCAGGTCAGACCAGGAGCTCTGACTCCCAACCCCTTTAGTCACTGTGCATCTGACTCTCCTCTCCTTTGCCTCAGGATTCCTAACTCATAGTAGGCTCAACACTTAACCTTGCTTTCCTTCTATTGGTGTCTTGAACAAGGAGCTCAGACTCACATGCTCTTAGGCAATAGTGCCTTGCAGATTCCAAAATTCCTATAGTTCAAAGAAAGCACACAGCTGTGGGCAGGTGCAAGACTTTGAGAACCTAAATCTATTCTAGCAGTTAGAACTATATGGCCCTGGGAACAGAAAAACCTCTCAGTTTTGCGGGTGATATTGTTGAAAGTTATAATCATTCGGTGACAGGATACACACATGCGCCTGGCATGGTGCCTGGTGAGCAGGTAGCAGGTAATAAACACCCTCTGTTATCAACACAGAATTCTGCTGAGAGGCTGGTACTTTCAGACTTCTGTGAGGTAGATCATCACCCAAGTATGAACTTGCTAGGAACACCTATGGTCCTTAGGTCTCTACTATGTGAAGGGAAGTACTAGCCCTCACTTGGTTTGAGGAAGAAGTGGGCTCAGCTGTAAGAAGTTAAGTTTTTCCGCCTTCTGCCTGGTCTTGTCCCACCGCTGGGCCAGCCCCAAATAATGCACTGAGACTCTGTATTTGATACAATGCTATTGGCCCAGTACTAGTTTCTTATCAGATAGCTCTGTCTTAAGTATTAACCCATTTCTGCTGATCTATGTATTTCTCTTACCGGGGAGCCGGCATTCTGCTTTCTCCAGACTCTCCATCTTGGCTCCTCCTTCCTACTTCCTCTTTCCTCCTTGTCTCCTAGTCCCTCCTATCTCCTTTCCTATTGGCCAACAGTGCTTTATTCATTAACCAGCATGAGAAACATTTACAGAATGACATCTCCCATCACTCAGCAGTTCCCAAGAAGTGGCCAGCATGAGAACCCAATTCCTATGTGTATTAGACAAGTCCTTTCCTGCCCTGTAGCAAAATATCTCTTCTGTAAAATGAGTTTTTACTGCTATTGTTGACACCAAGATGATCAGAAGTGACACAGGAATGTTCTAGCCAAAGCTTAACACATGTCAGGCCCTGTACACGTGTGTATAAGTCCCTGGTGACTAATTAGCTTCTGTTTTTCCTTTCTCTACTTCAAGGATTTCTCTTTTCTTAGATGTAGTCAGATTTGTTGCCTCACACTGTGAAGTAACTTCTACTCCTGTGTCAGCTTTCTGTTGTGACAAAACTTTGTTAATTAAATTAAAGAAGTAAGATATATTTAGACACCAGGCTTCAGAGGTCTCAGCCCATGGTCAGCCGATTCCCTCACGCTGGATGTGTGGGAAGGCAACAGGAGCCTGTAACAGAGGAGGGTGATCATCTTGTGGATGCTGGGAAACAGACACGGAAAGGAAAATGCTGGTGACAAGACATAACCATGGCCATTTGCTTTAACCATAGTTCCTACTGCTTCTTAATAGCCCATTCAATTGTGAATTCATCAAAGGGGTTAATATATTGATTATGTAAGAATCCTCATGATCCAAACACAGATTCCTAAAATCTGCATGTCTGATAGTGCATTTCCAACACAAATTGCAAATTATCCACTATCAGCCCCACCACAGACTCTCATCATGCCCTGCCAAACTACCCCTAACCACCCTGAAAGTGTACCTCTTCTCCCCATCAACAGCACAAAAGTGGAGAAAGTTCAGCTATCAGTCTTGTTAGTGTCTTGACCAAGAAGCTTGGACTTATGTTCCCAGAGAAAGAGCTCCTTGTGCCACCTTATCCTTCAGAGCACATCCCAAAACAAGCTGTTTACTGGTTCCTTCCAAGATCCTCAATGGGATCAATGGTGTGTTCTGATCATATCAAAGAATGTCCCAAATAGAGTTCTTTATTCTGCTCAGCATTAAGAATGGCTGGAATAGTACCCTCTCTTGTGTGGTAGTCTGTCTGAGAAGAATGAAGAGGCTAGCTATGGTGAGAGTCAATCACTATGTGCCTGAGACAGATTCCAACCCAGATCCCAACCATTCATACTGTTTTCATGGCATTCTGCTCTTCCTGAAGATCTTGGACACCAGTCCTTAGAAATAGGTGGAGTGCAAAACTATCAAAACTAACAAAGAGGGCATGACTCTCCCACAGACCCATAGTTTAAAAAACATTGATGCCACAAGTGTAGATACAGCTCTTCTCTACCTCAGTTCTTGTCCTCTTTGTCCCCACAGTGCCTGTACCAAGAGGGCAATTACTCAATGGGTGGAAGGTGGGGATTATAGAGTTTGGGAAGTATTGACATATTTGCATATTTTTCCAGTCATCTATCCGTGCGAGCCAAGGAACCATTGGTGGCTATTTCCTGGCTGGGAGATCCATGACCTGGTGGCCAGTGAGTTGAACTTCCTCCATCCTCTCCCAGCATATGCCATCTGTGGCCTCTTCTCAGCTTTCCTTTTTCCAGAACTACATCAGCACACTCCTACATTTTGCCCAACTCTGGATTCCTCTCTTGCTCCAATCTATCCAGCAGCCTTAGCCATATCCCAAGAGTGCCTTTCATGCATGTCACAGATGACTGTCTGGGGTTTCTTTGCTCTACCTCCACAGAAACCGGAGTTGGGAGAGGAGCATAGAGTTTATAGCACTCACTTCTAGAAGTTTTTAAGCTGGGATACCAAACAGAAGCTTACAGCTCTATACTATAGAAGTGGAATCTCACAGCTAAAGCTTTTAGAACCAGAGAGTTATTGTTCTCAGCACTCAGGGCAGGGGTCCAATACCCAAGGACTGAATAAAGGTAGCTTTGGGTGCTGAGGCCTTCAATTATTTAACTCTTGGTGTCTCCCTCAAACTTTTCCAGTGACCCAGGTTTACAAGCCCCGTACTCAAAGCTACCATCCAGCTCTTCACAGTAAGCTTCTTGCAGTTTCTGAACTCAATTTTGTTCTCTTTAACTTTTCAGCCTAGTGGTCTGTGTCAGAGCTTTGGATAACAGGGACCTTAAGGTCTCTGCAACTCTTAGCTGCTTCCTCACTACTAAAGCTGGTATGCCCTGTGATATAACACCTGCTCTTCAGGCAACCAAACCAACGTGTTCTACTTGCGATAAAGACCCCTAGTATGGAAAGAGGACATTTAGGAAAACTGTTTCAACACCAAGATGCAGCAAAGAGTTTGGGGGAATACACAAAAGAGAAGAAGCCTGCCAAGCTAATTGATTAAAAAAAAAAAAGTAACAACCAACCAACTCATTTGGCAAGAAAAGAATAGAAGCACACCTACACTCAGAATATATAATTTCCGATCACAGCCTGGTATGCACATAGCTTCTAATTCTACTAATCACATTCCTTATATAGGGCCCAATCATAAGACTTACACTGCACCTATCACAGACTTCTTCTGTGCCCTTGGGAGTTCCTCCCCTTCCTGTGTTACTTGGGTAGCTACAGGATGAGTAGAGTCATGTATTATCCACTGAAGATAATCTAGTCCGAAGTGTTATCTTCCCAATCCATATATGCTTTCTAAAGTGGTCATGACACAGCCTCCCAAAGCAGCCATTTGTGGCTTCTGCAGAATCCCTCTGAAGCTGGAATGTAGTTTCCTTAGTGGATCAATGAATCATTTGAAGCAACTGGGATGTCATCACAACACTCTAGTCATTCACTCAATAGGAGCTGCTAGCTTGACAGCTGCCTGATTGAGGCATCAAAGTTTTGGGGAAGGATTTGTTAGCTGTCAATCAAAGGGAGGAGCAGCCCATTATCTCTGCAGTTGCACTCATTCACAGGAAACAGACAAACAGAAACAAAATTAAAAGGCCTCAGAAATAAATATCCTTCACAACACTTGCCATGCTCAAGCTGTAATCCAACCTGATATTTCATACTCAGGGAGAATTCAATCCTCCTGCTCTGTCTCCAGGTGTGAGCCTTCCATTGGACACTGGATCTGTTGAGATATATCTGGGGTTCCCTGCTTTTGTGATGCTCAGAGTTCAGGGGGACACATAGACTTATGAATAATATAATCAAACCTGGGGTAGACGGAGGCACTGGGCTTCCCACATCTTGGTGAAGTTTCTGGGTCGCAGGCAATAGGTGGATAGGAAATGGGAATCATTTTCTTGAAAGAATGATGCCCATACTTAATACTAAAGAACAGTGAATTGGGAATTAGAGGTGAGCTCCCAACCATCTCCAGAAATTGATCCCAAGTATTCATGAACCCTCATCTTCCCCATCAGATCATGCCCTATATTTCTGCTGATCCATGAAAATTAACTTCCTCTTACCAAAGTGGGATGAAGGGATATCAGGTCTACTTAGAAACCCAGTCACATTAATCTCACACACAAATTCTCACATGCTCATTCATGTATGCATACACTCTCACCTTCTCACAGTCAAACTCCCACACACTAAGACAGTCCATATACATACATTCATACAAGCCAACATTCACATATATTCACACATGTGCATGCACATATGCTCCCACTCACTTCCATATATTCGTTCACATAACCTTATACTTAAACACTCCCATGGACTCTTGCCTTTACACTCCCTCGCTCCTCACTCACTCTCTCATTCCCTCGCACTCATAACGTCAGTCATTTTTGACCCTCCATTTTGGTGATGCTCATCATCCCTGCCCACCACTGCTCTCACCTGCCCATCTCTGCCCATCACACTCAGCTCTCTAAGAAGAAGAGAAAGCCCTGACAGCCTTCTGAAGTCTCAGAAAGATTTGGTTATCTGGAGCAGAGGATCAGGAATGTAAGTCAGTTTAACACGATAACTACCTAAGGATGTTTGAGTCTGGATACTTAGAAGTTCACAGAGATAATGAGAAATGACTGGTGCTTCCAGGTATTTCATTGTAAAGAGAAAGAAAAACCCCTGGGTTCTGTTTAGCCAATGCCTCAAAAATCACAGCCTCTAGCTGCCTCTTCACTATAAGTAGTCCTAAGCCCAGATTGCTCCAAACTAACTCTGACTCTTGATCCTTATCCTCACTTGTGCCTTTCAGATTGGAGCATCACTGATGTCCAGCAATGTGGGCAGTGGCTTGTTCATTGGCCTGGCTGGGACAGGGGCTGCTGGAGGCCTTGCTGTGGGTGGCTTCGAGTGGAATGTAAGAAAGCTGACCTGACTGCTCCAGGGTGTTGAGGTTCAGAACCACCTCCTGTGCCAAGCCCTAGACATGAAAGATATTGTAGTGGTACTTGAGAGGCTGTGTTGTAAACAGAGAACCCATAATATAGATGATGAAATTAAGGTCTTAAGAAGGAAAGAAGACTCATTTGGGATCAGGACCCAGGTCCCTTGTTTCCCTGCTCAGGGCTCTCTCAAACAACATGCTACATCCAGGTGCAAAGATGCCCAACTTTCTACAATTAAGATACCTTCTCTATGTTCTCCCAGGCAACCTGGCTGCTCTTGGCTCTGGGCTGGATCTTCGTCCCTGTGTATATTGCAGCTGGTGTGGTCACCATGCCACAGTACCTGAAGAAACGATTTGGAGGACAGAGGATCCAGGTGTACATGTCAGTCCTGTCTCTCATCCTCTACATCTTCACCAAGATATCGGTGGGTATGACTGCAAGGGGGCTTCCTTGCTATGGACTTTATGTCAAGCTCACTGATGGCGAGGAGGGATGAAAAGAAGGAAGAGGAGAGGGAGGAAGAGATGGGGGGAGGGGATAAAATGAAAGGGTGTGTGGATGGAACGAGAGATAAAAAGAAGGAAAAACGGATCCACCTGATTTCAGAGAATGCCTCCATCCAGAAGAGGGAACATCAGAAATGAATGATAAATTCTTTAAGTTAATACTGATCTTTCAACAAAGAACTCTCAAAATATAGTCCACTCTTCCATACTTCCATTAACTGATACTTCATTTGGCAATTCTTTTCTAATCACCTAGAATGTTAGAGTCAGAAAGATCTTTACTGTTGCTTTATTGAACTAAATTAGAAAACAAACCTAGACATGTCAGGTGAATTATTCAAGTCTACACAAAGGACTAGGTTTGAAATCAGAACTTGATCTTGACTCCCATACCCTGTGAGGGTTAGGTTTACCCAATACCATATTATTGACTCTGTCATCAGTTTATAAACAATCATGTAATGGGCTGACTCAATCAGATGTCAGATCTAGCCATGAAATTACTTTGAGGACCAACACTGTTAGTTGAGGCAGTCTTTTCCCCAAGTCCCATAATAACCCAAGCATAGGGATAATCCAGAGCCTGTGGCTGCCTGCCCAGAGAGCCCTGTAGGCCCATTCTATCTCATGGAGCAGCCAGCAACCTGCACAGTTCCTATTCTCTCCTCCCCAATGTCCTCTTCTCCACCTCCAGCGTCTAGATTTATTTCCTTCTTCTTCTCCCACTTTCATTTCTTACCCTGGCATTAATAATATACAGACAAATCTTTCAAGCCTAGCTGATTTTTTTTTCATTCAAACTATTATACAGTATTGTTTTACTCTAAATTCTTCCATGCCTCCATGCCTACAAGGTCAAGCCCACATTCCATAATGTGGCACTTTAATGCCTAGACCAAACTCAGCAGCATTGTTCTTCTGCCTGTCTCCATCCTTTGATAAAGGCGAAGGACATCTGATAAGGCAGGAGACACACCCACAACAACCATCCTGGAAGCATTGGGTGATGGTTTATGGGACTTTTCATGCTTTCTACAGACTGATATCTTCTCTGGAGCAATCTTCATCCAGATGGCCTTAGGCTGGAACCTCTATCTCTCCACAGTGATCTTGCTGGTGGTGACAGCTGTCTACACCATTGCAGGTAAGAAGGGGAAAGGCCTTAGGATATGTAGAATCCATGAGATGAGGAGAGAAGTTTTCACTGGCAAAGATATTGAAAGTTACAAAGATAAAAATAGACAGAGAAAGGCAGAAGGCATGATCCAGAGAGAGACAGTGAGATAGGGAGAGACAGAGACAAACTAATGAGCACAGAGATATACTATGATAGAGCACCTATAAGAAGATGGAAAAACAGTGGGAGAGAAAAGTGGTGGGGAAGGCAAAGGTAGAAAATCTACCTGGCAAAGGCAGGGATTGAGAGAGACATGGGGTCCTGCTGAGGGCTGGATGTGCTAGGAAAAGGTGGGAAACCAATGAATTGCTTCATGGGCCAGAGTCACTGTGGCAAAGCCAAGAATCCACTCTGCTCTGTTTCCTTCAATTCATAGAACTGGGATACACTGGGACAACAGCCCAGGACAGAACAACATATGGCTAAGTTGTCTTTAACTAATGAGGGCATCTAGGTGGGCTATGGGAGGAAAACAGAGAACTTGGTGATATTCATGGCAAGAACAACAGGCTGTTGATAGTGTGGTGACAAGACCTTGGCACAGATAGAAATAATTACATCAGAACACACTGGTATGTAGACAGTCAATATAGTCTCTGGATGGGATAAAGAGAGAAGAGATGGAGAAGAGTCTGTCTCCAGGACTCCCTCTAAGAGGGCTCTGTATCTTCTCTGATCTCATCCAGTGTAGGCAAACACAGGGAAGGTACCTAGAGGGAAACTTTCCATTGATGTATCCTCTCCTTGGGTACCTAGGAGGACTCACTGCTGTGATCTACACAGATGCTCTACAGACTGTGATCATGGTAGGGGGAGCACTGGTCCTCATGTTCCTGGGTAAGAAAGGGTTGTGAATACACTCTATCCTTGAACTCTAAAACTATCTATAGCATAAGGCCATATCCATTATCTAGGTTAGAAATGCATAAAGTCAGGATTCTCTCTGTTTCAAATGAAGAATCTTGAACCCAAAGCTCAGCACCCTCACTCTTTCTCAGTTCAAACCAGAGGCTCACATGAGGCATCAATGGGGCCACCAGGTTCATTTCTCACACCATGTCTCTTCTCACAGGTTTTCAGGAGGTAGGCTGGTACCCAGGCCTGCAGCAGCTTTATAAGCAGGCCATTCCCAATGTCACAGTTCCCAACACCACTTGTCACCTCCCACGGCCTGATGCCTTCCACATGCTTCGAGACCCTGTGAATGGGGACATCCCATGGCCAGGTTTCATTTTTGGGCTCACAGTTCTGGCCACCTGGTGTTGGTGCACAGACCAGGTAATGTCCCCAGCCTGACTTGGCCCATCAGAGGCTTCCTGAAAAGAAATAAACAAACAAGCAGTTGGGTACATAGAGAGTTTGACACCATCCTGGGACAGAGTGGAGGCAAACAATGACCAGTACTAGGGTTCTCCTGCACTGAGTTAAGTCCCTCTCTGACTTATGACATATCTTCACAGCTATTTATTCATATCTCACTCTATTCCAGGTGATTGTGCAGAGGTCTCTCTCTGCCAAGAGTCTTTCCCATGCCAAGGGGGGCTCAGTGCTGGGAGGCTACCTAAAAATCCTGCCAATGTTCTTCATTGTCATGCCTGGCATGATCAGCCGGGCTCTGTACCCAGGTAAGAGCTAGTGCAGCTCTCTCTGCATTGTGGGGTTGGGAGGTTTGTTGTTGTTGTTGTTGTTTTCATAGAAGGCTTTCCTAGGACAGGTGAACCAGAGCAGGGACTGGCAGGATTTCTCAATTAAGATAACAGAAAACATTTAGACTTTGTACTGGAGTAGAAAAAGAATCTGAATCTAAATGTCATTTTCAACTTTTCTCTTTAATATGGAGAAGAAGTAAGACATTCTTGGACCTGCCCAAGGATATTTGTTTTTAATCAAAGGAACCAAACAAGCTTTGCAGTGTAGTTCATGCACAACAAATCTATAAGATCAGACCACTTGTCATTTGACCTTCTAGACTAGGTTGGAGTCTCCAGTAAACACATTCACACAACATCAGAAGGAAAATACTGGGCTATTCTAAATAGGCACATAATCAAACAGCTTTGTTATTTTGCAGATGAAGTTGCCTGTGTAGACCCTGACATCTGTCAAAGTGTGTGTGGCGCCAGAGTGGGATGCTCCAACATTGCCTACCCAAAGCTGGTCATGGCTCTCATGCCCGTGGGTGAGTTTTATCTCTCCCACCCTTTCCACCGCCCAGTACCTCCTTCAAGGATCACTACCCAGGATGGACTGCACTACAAATAGATGCAAATAGAAAAGAGAAAGACCCAACTCTGCTCCCATCCCAAAACACACACACACACACACACACACACACACACACACACACACACACTTCCTCAAGCTTTCCTGATGAATCACAAGAAACACCTTGTCAAAGACCAAGAGCATGGGAAACACCATTCTATAAAGAGAGTGAATATGCAAATGACCAGGGTAGAAATATCAATTGTGTCAGCAATAAGGATAAATAAAGACAACTTTGTAACATGAAAATTAAATGACCCAGAGACTGATAGTGGAGTTCAAACTTCAAGCTAAATATCAGAAAAGCAAAGCAGCTGGCCACTAGCTTTTTACCTCTACCTCAGGCTGAATGGTCTGATTCTGTCTCCAGGAGCTCTCACCAAGCCTCAGATTGTAACCTCTCCTCAACATGCCTAGAGTGTCAAACATGCAGGAGCACAGCCTTTTCTCTGAGAGCAAAGGAAAGCACTGGAGACCAGAGGGAGCTGTGGTCCAAGCATGAATAATCAAAGTTGTGCTTTCAACAGACCACTGTGCTTGAAGAATACAACACAGAGAAAGATTGGGAGCGGAAAGCCAATGAGGGTTCTTCGTGGTCCAGATTAGTAACACTGAAAGCTTCAGAGATGAAGAGAAGTAATTTGAAGATCTGTGGAGTAAGATTTGCAGGATTTGATGACTCAATATTCATTAGTGACAAGAAAGACAGAGGCCCAAAGATGCTTCCTATCTTGACCTTCAGAAAGTGAGTTTGTAATGATATTGAGTCAAGGAACTGGAAGGCAGTAGAAAAGTGGTTATTGCTTCTCTTTGATTGTTACAGCCTGTCAAAGAAATAGTATAGGTAGTGAAGGTCTAGCTAGGACCAAGCAGAGAAAAGAGAAGGGTCTAGGATAATGAGGACATCAGGTGAGGAAGACCAGAAAGGTATTATTAACCAAAGGGAAACAAATGATTTAGAATAGGGATTCATCAGTTTGCAACACTGGAGTCCAAAGCACCTATAAGGGTTCCAGAGAGGCACTAGGGCTTGGTTACACATACATATTTGGAAAGAAAAGGCCCTAGGTGGACCAGAGAACTTCTGGGAGTCATCTCCCCAGTGTTGAAAGGTCATTTCCATAGCTTAGCCATCAGAGTTAGAAACTTCCTATTTCTAATGTCCAGGTTAAAAAAATAATAATGGTCCCAAGAAGAGAAAGCTCCTAGTCCAGAGATCATGTAGCTAATTATCTGAACAGCTAGGAATTAACCCAGGGTTCTCTCCAAGGCTGAAACTTCAGGTAATGACTACAATGTACTATGGAACTCATTTTTTCTTTCTTTTTTTAATTATATTTAAATTAGAAACAATCTTATTTTACATATCAATCCCAGTTCCTTCTCCCTCCCATGCCCCCTCCTTACCTCCTCCATCCCATGGCCATCCACTCCCCAGGGAGGGTGAAGCCTTCCATGAGATATCATCAAAACCTGTCAAGTCATTTGGGATAGGGCCTGGGCCCTCCCCTGGGTCTTTAGGCTAAGGGACATCCCTCCATGGGGAAAGGGTTCTCAAAGTCTGTGCACTAGCAATACATGCTGGTTCTCGTTCCAGAGGCCCCATAGACTGCCCAGGCCTTCTAGCCAATACCCACATTCAGGGGTTCTGGTTTGGTCCTATGCTGGTTCCCCAACTGTCAGACTGGGGTTTATGCTCAGGTCAGCTGCATCTGTGGGTTTTCCCAGGGTGATCTTGATCCCTTTGTTCATCATTCCTCCCTCTCTACAACTGGATTCTAGGAGTTTGGCTCAGTGCTTAGCTGTGGATCTCTGCTTCTGCTTCCATCTGCTACTGGATGAAACTCTTTTTTTTTTTTATTTTTTTTTTGTTTTGTTTTTGGAGGGTTTTCTGTACAAAAAAAGATGACATAAAATACATTTCCAACTATCGTCTTATTCCCAGCCCCAGAAATTTATCACCATCCACAGCCATTAAATAAAGACATACATCAAGACTGAAGGAAACCTCTTATTATCTTGGCTCATGTGCATCTTATATAATGTGCAGAAGGCAACCAAGGCTCAGAGAGGCCACAAAGCAGAGACAGAGGCTAGCCAGCCAGAACCTAGCCTCAAGCACTGTGGGTTTCCTGATTCTATATCTGTTCTAGATGGGACCCTCATCAACACCCACCATCCCATCCCTGCCCCAAAACATTTGGCTTTGTGCTTCCTTCATTGTCCTGGCAGAACCCTTAAATGAGCAGCTTTCCACTCATCCTTGTCTCTCCTTAGGTCTGCGAGGCCTGATGATTGCTGTGATCATGGCTGCCCTGATGAGCTCACTCACCTCCATTTTCAACAGCAGTAGCACCCTGTTTGCCATAGATGTGTGGCAACGCTTCCGCAAGCAGGCCACAGAGCAAGAGCTGATGGTGGTAGGCAGGTATGCTGACCCATGCTTCCAGAGCACCCTTTATCTGAAGAATTCTCTCCCTTCTCCAATCCCTGCTTCCTGGGAAGACCATCTAGGTCTAGCCCCCAGGCTTGCAGTTAAACTGTGGGTTCCATGTGACTTTGCATAAATCCTTTCCCAGAGCAATGCCACCCCTCCCACTTCAGAATAATGGGGGGGGGTGGTAATCTATCCTTGCGTATTTAACTAACAATTCACTGTGTAATGAGAATGCATGTACACCCAGACTGGTAATGTGTAAGTGGGGGAACACCTCACCTCCTGAAGTCTTTGGACCCAGGACAATGAGAAGGCTGCATACCTAACCTACAGGATATACCTAAATTTGCCACACTGTTGTACTGGGGACACACAGATGCATGGTGTCCCCAGCTTACAACAAAAAGGAAACTTCAAAAGACAATGAAGTGTAGTCTTGACAGAGATGTCCATAGAAAAGTTGTCTCCAAATGACCTGCAAGCTTTGAACACCAAGATATGGAGGTTGAACATCACCTTGTATGTAGCAGTTTAGGTTTCCAAAAGCACAACTTAGTGGTAAATTTCTGTTGTCTCCACAGACTAAGAGTTTGCCTAAGGGTAAAGGGTTCAGATCTCTGCCCTCACTTCACATCTCCCAGGCCTTGACTTCAAAACTGAAGAGTACATCCCAGCCCCTTTGGTAGATCTAGATATAGGATTGGATAGCCTTCCTCTTTGCACTCACTATCTACTCCTGGGAGTTTTACTTCTGCCCCATGGCTACCTATCTGCACACACCTAGGCAATGAACCAGCATCAAGAGTAGGACTGGATAGGGAATAAGCATCAAGAAGGACAGGTAGGCAGTTATTGCTCTAACAGGACTTAAGAATGGCAAAGTGGGAGTAAAACGAGAGGACAGGAAAGCATTTCTAACCTATTCCTCCTTTCTGCTCATAAACAGGCCTGTAGTGCTCAGTTAGTGTGATTTGGGCTCCATCTCCTGGCCATAAGCATTATTGCATTCATGCCATCCAAGAAAAAAGTTCATGGTTTTTTATATTTATAAAACCAGGCACCAAGTGTGCTTTGGGAGTTTGGGCCTGAGTGAAAATCAGCTGAGAGGGGGTAAAGAGAAGAAGCAGAGATCTGTGGCTAATGCAAGTCTGGATCCATACTTGGCAAGTAAACCGCTCTAGACAGAGCTGAGTACAAAGAGGTAGAAAGGCATCCTCAGCAGAGCCCTTCCAGGGCACAGCTGAGGCAGAAGATATAAGTTATTCTTTATCAGTAGGAGTAAGAACAATCCTGAATCCATCCAATGTATGAATACTAAGGTTTCTTGAATTCTGAAGTTTCAATTTCTAGGTTTTTAACTGTCTGATTTCTGCCTTTTAGTATTTGGGATTCTAACCCACAGACATTTTCTGGATCAGGGACCATTCACTTTCTTTCTTTCCTAATTCCCATGCATACTTCACCCTGCCCATGGTCACGTGAGTGGTACTCACAGTGCCCTATATTCTTCCCACAGGTTGTTCATAGTCTTCCTTGTAGTCATCAGCATCCTCTGGATCCCCATCATCCAGAGCTCCAATAGTGGGCAGCTCTTTGACTACATCCAATCTATCACCAGCTATCTAGCCCCACCCATCACAGCCCTCTTCCTGCTGGCCATCTTCAGCAAGAGGGTCACTGAGCCTGTAAGTGCAACAACCCTGCCCCTTCCCAACATGTCACAGCATCTCGGATAAGGGTCTTTTACTAATCTGGTTTGTGAGACCTTGGGCAAAGCCACTGCCTTCTCTAGGATTTTAACTCTTACCATGAGATCAAGATTCTCTCATTTGCCTACTACCAACTCAAATATGACATCTCCAAGGATGTAACCATTTACAAGGTTTACATGAATTGGCCATCTTGAGCAGTCAGGGAAGAAACTTGATTAAATAAGCAATAAGGGCATAGGTCAATGGACTCTGGAAAAGTAAAGATTGGGTGAAGAGATTCCCAGGAGGGGGCAGGAAAGACTTTCTGGAAGAAGTGGCATGTGAAATGATTCCTGAAAGGTCAGTGGCAGAGGAAGAGAATGCTGACCAGTTCATATTGGGAGGTGGGTTAGGAATACATGCGATTATAATTGTGAGGTCCCAGAGGCTTTATTTTTCAAAGGAGGGGTGGTGGAGTTGTACTATGTTTTCTAATTTTCATGACAGAATTTTGCAAGCAGGCTTGTGGTGTTCCTTGCTTAGTAGAAAAATACCCTTCATGCTATTTGAATACTGAGCATCTGTGACCCAGTATTTGCCAGTCTCCCCTTTCACTGCACATAAGAAGATGCTAAGTCAACATGCTCATATCGATGGATTCAAGCAATTCTCATGGAGCCATGATCTCAACTTTAGTGCAACTCTGAAACTCATATCCTTCTCAGCACAGTGCTCTGACTGCCTTTTAAGTCAAGACACAGAGTGTCAATAGGGAACTAGATAAGATGGCTGAAATTTCCACTGTAATAGGCCAGTAAGAAGGAGATGTTAGGGAAGTGTGTCCCTTAACTTCCTAGGGTCTACCTTACCTCACCCCAGTGTCTCCTTATCTGTGTCTCCGCTCTCTCTTTAGGGTGCCTTCTGGGGCCTCACATTTGGCCTAGCAGTGGGAATAGTGCGCATGATTCTGGAGTTCTCATACCCTGCCCCAGCCTGTGGGGAGGTGGACAGGAGGCCTACTGTCCTGAAGGACCTCCACTACCTGTACTTTGCGCTCCTCCTCTGTGGACTTTCTGCCGTCATCACTGTCATAATCAGTTTCTGCACAGAGCCCATCCCTGATGAAAAGGCAAGTAGTATGTTCAGGCTGAGGCTTCCAGGAACAAGTCATCTGTCCCTAATGCCCAGACACCCCCCCCCACACACACACACATACACACTGAGTTTTATACTATTGGATTATGGTTTCGCCTGCTGCCAAGCAGATATCCTTTGAAGGATATGCTCACTGGGGTATAAATTTCTAGGTGAGAAGTAACCCATTCAGTTCAAAGTTACACATTCTCTACCAACTATGTGTCAGGTGATAAATGGTCTTTAACAACAACTGTCCCCAGAAAAGCACATGCCAACACAAACTGGCAACTACATAGAGAAAAAAAAATAGGACTAGGCTTAATGAAAAAGGAAAAGTATGGGGTTCAGAAACTGGTGCACTGGCAATGTCTCTCTGAGATGGACTTAGAAGAAATAGATTTTTTTAATGGTAAGAAAAAAGTACATGAGAAAGGAATCAGAGAGCTGACTGCTCCCTGGTCTCTGAATACTGATACCCAATATCTTATCATCAGCCTACTTGTTTTTCTCAAGCCAATATAATTGCTTATCACTTGATGTCTTAAACATCAAGTATGTGTCCCATCACCTTTCTGGAGCCTGAAAACATGGGGTCAAAGGATTAGAAGGTTGTTTTCATCTGAGGGTTCCTCTGAAGCTTAGTGATGGCCATCTTCTCCCTGAATCTTCCCCCTACATCTGTCTGGGACCTGATCTCCGAAGGGTCTGCCCATGTCATCCCACCTTCTCTTAATTATTTTTTAACAACCCTATCTATAATTTAAAATGTGGGAGCTAAGACTTTAACATAGAAAATCTGAGAGGGCACAATGTGACCCCTGACAGAGCCTGCAGTATAAATTGGACCCTGACCATTGAGTCACTGTGTACACTCTCACCTATGTGGAGCATGTGGGCTAGTAAAATGGCCTTATGACCCCAAACAAGAGAGGTGCTCACAGATGAGCAAGTGAAGCTAGCTCTTCCCGTGACTAGCCATGGCCTCCTACTGCTGCAGCCTCTGCTTGTTCCTTGTCTGAATCCTTACTCCTCACAGCAAAGCCATCCCCACATTAGAATCCATTCACGGATCATCTCTGACACTACTGATGTCAGCTAGAAAAGCTGTCTTCTAGTCCTCTGAGTCATGAAAAGGGGAGATGAGAAAAAGTTCGGGGCCATCATCTTTTTTCCTCTGGTTACTGCAGCCTCCCCTCTTCCTCTCTATAAACAACCTTTACAAAGGACAGCCTCTCTTACCACCTATATTTTCTCAACCCACTGCTGGCCACAGAAAGCCACTTAGATTGTTCTCAGTGAAGGTATTCCTACTCTGGTTGCTAAAATGAATGGCTAACTCTTTGTCACTATTTTAAGTGAGTTCCAAGAGCCGCTACAACGTGAGGGTCACAGCTTTAGGGAGGTTGAGAACCACTGCCCTAGAGTATCCGTGGGCTACAAATTCCACAACTGTTGATGGCACTCAATTCTGTCTTCATCACTCTCTCAAGACTCAAACAAAAAATCGAATTGCCTCCTGGTGACATGAAGACACATCGCTCATATGCTATTAGTGACACAGAGTATGAGCATAAAGTTCATAAATTTTACAGAGATGCTGGTGTGCACAAACAGATAAGCCTCCTGGGTTCTCATGATCCCAGGCAGAGGGACACTTGGACCTGGCACAAATGAGCACATGGTGCAAGTAGGACCATAGAACAAGGCAGGTGACAACACCTGGCCCGATATGTAACAGAGCAGCTGGGGCAGTGGAAGAGTTTTGTTAAGAGAGACTTTCAGAGGCAACAACATGGTTGGATCTAATGCCACCAATGTCATCTAAACACGTTGTGTTTTAGTTCTCAGGGGAGATGAAAAGTTCCCAGGACCACCCAAGAGAGATGAGGTTTGTTTCTTCTTGCAGAAGGTCAGAAGCATTGAAGCATTACAGACACTTCAACCTTACCAGTGTGTGTGTGTGTGTGTGTGTGTGTGTGTGTGTGTGTGTGTGTGTGTGCGCGCGCATGCGCGCGTGCGCACGCACAGGCATGCATGCATGCATGTATGCATTTTTCTCTCCTACTCTTGTCTTGTATCTTCTCTCCCTTTGAGGGGTTCCATCACCCACATCATCAGTTGATCCAGGAACCAAGAGCCACGATAGTTTCTCCTCCTTTTCACCTGATTGTTCCATAAGTCACCACATCCTGTATATTTTACTCTCCTAACATCTCAAGACTGCTACTTCGTGGAATGGAGAGATAGATTGCTGTCTGAGTGCTTGCCTAATATGTGTAAGGCCTAGGTCTGTCCCCAAGCACTATAAAAGGAATAAATGCATAGATAAATGAATACATAGACTTTTCCCTCCTGCCTATTTTTTCAGGCATGTAATATTTCTTTCAATTACTTCTTGTTTCACTTTTCAACAACTTTTGGGCTGGACCACCTCAATTCACTCTGAGGAGCTTTGAAAATACTAGCCTATAGTTCCTTCTCTTTGTCTAAAATCAGCATTGGCCCTTACTGGCTTTAAGGTTTTGTTTTTGTCAGCTATCATTTCCTCCACTGAACCTTTGAAGCCTTTCCCTGGTGACCAGGCACCTGCTTCCTGTCCAATTGTTACTCTGGGTTGAGCTACAAGCAGCTGAGGAATTCCCCTCTCAGATCGCAATACCTGCATCCAGTATGGGGCTGGCAGAGGGTGGGTACTCAAGAACGGCTCTGAACTTGAAGAACCCTCTCGAAGTCTCACCTTGTTCCTCACCCTGTTTTATATTGCTCTGATAGCCTCCCATGAATGAGAACTCCTTCTCCACAGCCAGGACAGTCTTCTGACTCCAAATGTTGTATCCCCTTGCTTTAGCTTGCTCGCCTGACCTGGTGGACGAGGAACTGTCCCTTACCTGAGCTGGAGAAGAAAGCCTCTGAGAGTGGGAATGAGATGGAAGGGGAAATCACTTCAGGGCTGGCAGGGAGGCCAGCTGTCGAGGGCCCTGCAGGAGATGGAGAAGAAGCAAACCCCATACAGGCGCCTGAGAAACCAGGAGGTAGGTTGGGTACATGTCACAAAGGAGCAATGGGGACAGACATAATGCTGAGGGTTTCCCCAAGGATATAGTTTGTGGACACTGAGGATGTAGGACTCTGAGAAAACACAATTAAAAGCATTCTTTCGTTTTCCTATGTGACTACTAAACCCGTCAAGACAGATGAGAGTCAAAAGACTGTCTTGGCCACTCATGAGATGGATAGGTTTAGATTCTGTCCACAGGGAGGTATACTTCTTAATCCTGAACCCGGCAACAGACAGAGGTACCCACCCATTCTCCAGCAGACCTAACCAACAGCACAGCCTTAAGGAACTTACGGCAGGAAACCAAATAGCATTATGCCTCTTGAGTTCCCTCCACATGGAAGGGAGAATGAGGCATCACCAAGAAGCAGCCACCCTTATCCCTGCTTACATTCATGTACTTATTCCCCTCTTGTCTCAATGATGCTGTTTAGAGTCACACAGAAGCCTGGCTGTCTCATGGGAAGAGTGTAGAGCATGCCCACACAGTTGTGTTGTTGTCATAGAGATACTTCAAAACAATGGCCACTTCTCTGCCAAGCTCCTGGAGTTGCTGATAGCTTCCCAGAGGCTGTTAACTGTGTTGGGGTTGTATATTAATTAATCAAAGTCATAATGTTCGAGTTGTAGATATAATGAGGTCATAACCTTCCTGTAGTGAGATTAAATAATAATATTGAGACACTCCAATGATAGAATGACAACATTACAGAAATTTTTTTCTGTTATAATATTCCCAAAGAAAAATTTTAAATTCCAAAAGTCACACAAGTTGCAAGTTAAAGTCCAAAATCAATTATTTTACCCTTATGAGGTAGAAATTTAATAAAATTTGAGCACTGCATTTATTTCCAGCCTTAGTTACAGATAGTCTCACTGTCTAGATGGGGCTGGGATTCTCTCTGAAGCAGCACTACATAGATTTGGGCAAATTTTCATCAGACGTCCGAAAGACAGAGTGTTGTACCTGCCTCTGCAGTGCCCACTTCTGTAACTGGAGCAGGTTAAGCAGACACTGTTAGCAAAGTACCACTTGCTGGACCTGCACATTGGCTGATGTTCCCTGTCACTCAGTTCTGTATCCACTGCATAGGGAGCCCTGCACTGTTCCTCAGGCTTGAACGGAATCCCACTTTTTGAAGCCTTTTACCCTCATTCAGGGTCCTCATGCTATACATATGGCCACTTGTCAGTGCCTAACTATATCTTGAGCTCCAAAGGCATCAAGGTCTAAGGCTCAGTACTCCTTGCCCAGACTGTGGTAGTCAGAGGTCGGCAGAGCAAGTAACCCAAGCACCCCAGTCAAACACAGTGATGCTCATTTCAGAAGCACCTCAGGCCAGGCGGAAGCCACTGTCCCTGGCTTTACCATCACCCCACTTAGGTTTACTGTATTTTGCTTAGCAAAATGTAGCTTTTTCATATATAAGTTTTATAGCCATGCACCTGATTTTGGGTGGGTCTCAAAACCACTTCTCCCATCACCGCAAAGACCAGTTCTGCCCCCTAAAAAGTGTATGAGCTGAGCTGAAAAGACCATTCTTCAAGCAGTCATGTAGGTGAGGCAGTTATTAAGGAAGAGAGGAGAAAGGGTACCTGGATAAAAGGAGAGACTCCCATGATTGGATAACAGTTACAGAGACAGACAGGCCCCCTGCTGGCCCCTGAATCCAGGGCAAAGCTGTTCCTGTCTATGTAAAAGAATGCCTGCTTCCTATAAACAGCTACATCTAAGGGAAGAAAATGATTCAACCATAATGTCCAGTGGAAATATAGCCCCTATCCCTCAAGCCCAAAGCTGTTACAAAACACCACCAAGGGGAATGAGAGGCTAGGGAAGGCAGCTGCTTATGTAGTGAATCCTTCTTGCTAAAACGTTGAGACCCTGAGACAGGGAAGAAGCAGCCCCTTCAAGCTTAGCTTTTGTGACCTATGTAATCCCAAGCTCAGCAACTCACTCCACAGTCCTGGCATGCATTCTTTAGACACCTGAGCACCTGGACCTCACTCATCCACAGACTGCAGTCCCAGCACTGGTAGCTTTTGTAGTGGTATCAACCCCCATTCTCATCAGATGCTTAAACAACTCTTAGAATAATGCAGGGCCTGTCACTAAGGCATAAGGAGGAGAAAGTGCCTGCCACTAAAGGTACCTGGATGATTTATACATGGCTTTAAGTAAGGCTGAAGGCAGAACTGGCTCTGCTGCCACGCTCCTGACCTTTAGCTATCTATGTCAACCCTCACAGCTAGGGAAATGAGTCTGTCCTGCTTAGATGCTTCTGCTCCTGGGGAAATAGACACTTTTTTCTGTCCCCACTTTGAACTGGTGCTCTAAATGAGAACACATGATGCTAGCTCAAACACACTAGCTCCTGTAATGAGATGCTTCTGAGCTGTGACCATTTGGATGCTATCACCAAGGCCATAGCTCATCCTAGAGACCCAGTTTAGAACGTTACAGTGTCCTCCCCATGTACACTCCACTCCTTCCTTCCATATTGTACCATCCCCCCTTTCATCTCTTGTTCAACCTTTCCCTTCTCCATCCTATCTTCCTCTCCCATTCCATTCTTCTCGGCCTATGACCCAGCCCGCCACAGATCCTGGGGGAAATGGCTGTGGAGCTGGCTCTGCGGACTCTCAGGGGCCCCACAGCAAGCCCTGAGCTCAGCTGAGAAGGCTGCACTGGAGAAGAAGCTGACCAGCATCAAGGAGGAGCCACTCTGGAGACATGTCTGCAACATCAATGCCATCATCCTGCTGGCCATCAACATCTTTCTCTGGGGCTACTTTGCGTGATTCTGTAGGCCAGGATTTAGTTGAAGTGATTAAATATATCTGAATCCTGGCCAGGCCCAGAGACCAGAGGCAGACTCTCTTCCCACCTTCCTTTGATACCTGAACCACAGAGGCAGAGAGTAAAAGCCCATGAAGAACATCCAATCAAATATACTTGGCACATGGGGACATGAAAGAATGGAGAGACCACTAGAACTGCCCAGGGTCCCACAGCAGAACTCATACTGGGTCTCCAACTCCAGCTCTCTTTCTGCTACACTGCCCTCAAAAAACAAAACAACAAACAAACAAACAAAAAACACCATCTCCTCAGTACTCGAGAATCTTCATTGTTATGTATATCTACAGGTTATACATAGTAAGAAAACGAGTATAGAGTTCTATCCAAGCACACTGTGCTTCCTCATTTCTCTTATCTGCTTTTCCTTTGTTTCCTCTCTCCTTCTCCCCTGTCTTCCTTGGCTCCCAATAATGCATAGCATGAGTCCGGTGAGGAGGGCCTTATCATGCCATTGGTTCACCAGTTGTGGTTGCCAATCACATAAGAGTGAATCAAGGCAGAGGTATGAGACAGGTGTCCAGGACACAGCGCTCCTAGATCAGGATTCTCCTTGGCATAGTTCTAATTCTTCTTCTACCCTCACATCCACTCCTGCTGTCTCCACAGCCTAGACCTAGGTTTAGCGTCCAGCCGGATAGACAAAATATGTTGAAAGCAACAAGATTTAAACAGCCCCAGGGAGCAGAAAGGACAGCCTGAGGGTGGGTACTCCACAGTCTTTATCCCTTTGTCTTAATCTGTCAAAACTCCTCCCCTGAAATATACCAGAGTCTGTGATCTTGAGCAGCTTCCAAGAAGACTTCCAAATGCCTCAACCTGGGTCAAGGTCCTGCTCAGCCCTCAAACTGCATAAGCTGTGCCCCTGTGTCCCTTATCACATTGTCCTGTAGTGCTGTCTCCTTCCTAGATAGTGCATGTCTATAAGCAGGGATCAATGGTTATGACCAACCTGACTTTGTACTTACAGACAAAAGAAGTCAATAAAAGCTTGTTGGGTCCATATGCTCTTCCAGGTACTATGGACTTTGTGAATGGTGGAGCAGAGACTTGGGGAGTTGGCTGCCTGGGAGGAGACTCCTTGGGTATCAGAAACAGCTGAGTCTCGGGCATCTCAGCTGAATGGCACAGATGCAGCTGAGAATGGCCCTTCTCCCTCTCCTATGGTCCTCTGCAATGCTGTCTTTGCCCACCATGTCAATGATCTCTCACTCCAACTGCAGACAAATAAAACTCCGTTTGACTGACCTGCCGATCTCTGGTCCTCTTCACTTTCTGCTGCCTCCAAATTTTTGCCCCCAGTAACTTTCTGACTCCACTGTGCCTTTGTCTCAGAGGACAGGATGCTCTATCTTTCTTCATGGACCCTGACTTAGAGTTATGGCTTTCTTCTGACTTCCTCACAAATCATTCTCCCAAGTCATTTGTGGGTAGCAGATTATAAAGAAAAGCTGGGATGGGAATAAATTTCAACAGGGGCAGAGTCTGAAACTGGATCCTAACTGACCTTCTGTTTTTACAGAGGTCTTAATGTAGATCAGGCTGACCACAAACTTATTATGTAGCTAAAGATGATCTGGACCTTTGATGTGCATGTGTGCATATGTATATATGTTCATGTATTCTTGTGTAACCCCATGCGTGTAGATGCCAGAGGTAGATGTTTGTTTTTTAGTTATGGTCTCTTAATGCGCCACATGCTAACCATGCTAAAGTGTTCCATGCTAAGTTTCTCATTCCCCACTAGAGATGGTGACTGGTATAATGAGCACAGATGGCCTGAAACTGAAAAGTGAAGACCCTACTATAGAGCTAGCACAGCCTGCTGATGAAGTCATTGATGAGGACAGGGCAAACTAAAAGACTAGGAACTGGAACTGGACTTTGGAGAGTGGAGAGGAGTCTCCTAGAAGTTGTACAAAGTAAAAGGTCAGCATGTGCAAAAGGTACAAGAGTATGTAACAGGCTCCCGTATAATAGGGATCTTACACACTTGTCTATGAATACTGACTCTATTTAATTCTTCCTCAGAATCATGTTTTCTTTAGTATGTGTCTGGTAAGGCAGAGCCGGGAGATTTACTGACATGGGACAAGGAAGAACAGGCATTTGGCAAGTGGAGCAGAGGCTGACAGTGCCCTGGGTATCCATGAGTTCTGTCCAGTCCAGTGCCCTTGTCACTTTCCTGTGACCGTTTTCTGGTTGTAGAAAGATTCTGAGCTTCCCACAGAGGTGGCTACTGATGCTGAAAGTTAGCAAACACACGTGGTTCAGTCCCGACCCCATGGTAAACAGGACACTGGTATACAGCACAGCTGGTACCTTGCCCCCACATGAGACAGTTTAGAAAGTGGTTAGTTCTAAATCACATTGCAAAGGTTTCAGGTGGTAGGGTCCTGAGCACAACACCAGCACACCCATCCACACAAATGCAAAAGTCCCTCTCCCTGCCTCATCCTTCCATTTCCTGAATGCAGTTTCCTCAGATACCTTCCCAAGTAAACACCTAGTCAAGTCTCATTTAGGAAGAAATCAGTCTTTTCTAGGTTTTTTGTGAAATGATGGCAAAGCCTGGAGACTTCAGACCATGACCTCCCTCCATACCCCTCCCCCCTCACACCCACAGGAAGTGAAACTGGTCCACCATCAAGTCTCAGCTCCACTTCTGGGTGATGCTGGGGGGGGGACAGTGACAGACACAAGAAAGAAAACAATAACAACAACAAAATACCTTTGAGGTAGCCTCCAGTTGCAAAGTTGTATAATGCTTTATTCCTCCTGCCTTGTTACAGATCATTAAGATAAACTGCAACAGGCCAGGCCATGCTCTACACATAAGGTGCTCTAAGTAGGTCTATCTGTGAAGACTTAACTCTCCAGCTAAACTTTGAGAACCAGGACATCTCTACTTTAGCTGTAATAATTCAGTGCAAAACAGTGGAAAGGCAAGAGTCACATGCTGGGTGGACTGAGCTCTGCTTCTAAAGCCCCAGACCTGAATACACAAGGGAAAATTCCAAGAACTGAGTGTTCTTGGGATCCTGATGTTGTGAATGGAGACAGAGTCAGAGGCAAACAACGAAAGGGTGTGGCTAGAGGTGAGGTCAGCTTGGGGGGTGGGGGATGAAACCTCCCAGGAAGGGTGAGGCACACAAATGGCCCTTACATGTCCATCATTTGTAGATCAGTTTCCAAAGTGACACATCGGCTTCCTATACTACAATGCTTCTGTGTAACCTTTATAACCATGTTACCTTACCATATTCTTTGCTCTTCTAGCAAGGTTTCATTCTCAGCCTCAGGTCTCAGGCTCTGTCTGTTTACATATGAGTGGACAAGGAGTCACCCAGCATTTAGGGGTCCTGCTTCAATTCACCTCATCTCTCTGCCAGATAAGAGATAAAAGTCTAGGGGTCACAGCTGACATCCTACTTGTAATTTGCTTTGTGATGCTCCTGGCGTACTTCAAAATCTCCATCCCTTAATCGAGATGAGTAAAAAGGTTTGATGCTTTCCATCTTGACACAATGTATTTCTGACTTGATTCCACATATAAAGAGAGCAGAGCCCAAGGGTGGATTGGTGTCTGGGAGGTGAATAGGGGAAATAAGCCCCATGACAGCCTGAGTGGTAGCAGCACAAGCAGCTTCATGGTGCAGTCTTTTCTGAGTGGAAATGGCTTTGCCACAAGCAATAAGAACATTAAGTGGGAGCTATGTACTGTGAAGGGACAGTTTCAAAACAAATAGTGTGCTTAACAGTATCAAGAAAAAAATGTTTTTAAAGTGATCGAGCCACAAAAAAAGCACTCGGTTTAACATGGGAGACTTACAGCAATGTCCCCAAGTGTGAGAGCTCACATCAGTCAGAAGAGGGTGGAAGCTGCTGGAAGGCCATGCAAAAGCAGTGCAGGTTTTCCATTAACCTAGAAAGAAAGCCACTCTAGCCTTCCAGCAGTGAGATAACCATAATTTTCTCCTTTCTCCAGGGTAAAAAGTTGGGAGAACTTTAAAGGTTATATATAAATATAAATCCTAGTAACTTAAATTGAAGTAGTTACACTTTATGTTCATATTTCAAAGTCAAATCTCAGCTTTAGCCCAGATTCAGAGTAGAAATGTTAGACTTTTTTCTGTGATCTTATATTAAATCCACTGCCTTTGCTGAAAGGGAAAAAGGATCACTCTATGTCTTGCCTCTAGAATAGAATGGCAAACGCCGGCCCATCTATTAGTATGATCTGCATATTAATTTCAGAATTACAGATGTTTGGAATGGGAGGTTGCCCCCAGAGGCCCCTGCTATAGCCCAGCTGTTCTCCTAGCCTGGGTCAGAGCTTTTCTGACATCTTCCCTGTCCTATTCCAACCCTCTGTTGACACAGCTCTTATGAGTGAGCTAATGGCCTCCTGAGGGTCAGCATCCATCTCTGGGGTCACACCATTGGTAGAAAGTTCTCTTTTTATCAGTTAAACTTGCCATATCCTACTAAAACAAACAATAAGTAAAGAGCTCAAGTGGATCATCTATTCTGAAATTAGATCCAAACTATTGGTGGTTTCTTCTTGAAGAAATATTGAAGGATCTGGAAACCTGTTGCAGAAATACACATTTATCTGAGATTAGAAGTATAGGCACAGAAAGAAAACTGATCACTTAAAACCCTCCTTAATAACTACAGCGAGCATCGGCACACCATCCCTTCCTGTCACTGTCAGGTTGTCTTTTACTGAGATGTTGTCTTTTACTGAGAAGCAGAGCCTGAGAGCTGAGGGAATGCATCCTACCAATACCACCTCTGAGCTGCCATGCCTTGTACTCAGACTTTTCTGTACATTCAGCCCACCCCCACTGTCATGTCCACTCTCAACACATCCTTTGTGGATTTTCTTCTTTATCAGGCTTTTGTGATAAGCATGAAAGGCATATAGGGGCATTATAGTGAAAATATAAGTCATGCAAATAAGGACAGCAGGCATTGAAAGTTAAAATGCAGCAAGCAA